CAATTTAGGTTCATGGGTAGTGTGAAAAAAAACTGTTACTCTGATAATAAAAACTGATAATACAGACAGCAGCAAATCAACTTTCCTCTGTGTACGAACACACTATCAAACGGTGCACTTGCTCTTCTTCCAGCCAGTTGTATTTGATCCACAAACACTTGCATGGGTCACTAGTGCTTTTCCCCCCATTCTTGGCCAAAATTTGGCCCTATTGTTTTTTGTTTGTTTGTTTGCTTTTGTATTCTTCAGATTTGGCATACTGCAAGCATATAATAACAGAACGTATTTCTTCTAACTGAAATTCTAATCTAGGATTAATATTGAATTAATTAGGATTTACCTAATCTAGGTTAATGTTAATTTCTGCATAAACTAATACATTAACATCTCAAGTTGTATAAATTAGCATTACCTAATGTCTTATGAACAAACATGAATTAACAATGAACAAGATATACATTCTATACAGAGAATAATTAAAAATATGAAATATATTCTAAATGTAAACAAAAATGTACTAGTACACACTACTGTTTAAAAGTTTGGGTTAGTAAACATTTTTTTAAATGTTTTTGAAAGTCTCTTATTTTCACCAAGCTGCATTCACTTGATCAAAATACAATTAAAAATAAAATTAAAATTAAAATTACTTTTCTATCTTGATAGATAGATAGATAGATAGATAGATAGATAGATAGATAGATAGATAGATAGATAGATAGATAGATAGATAGATAGATAGATAGATAGATTAATATCATAAATGTCATTATAAATTACATTCTAAAAATCTTTAGTTTACGGTTTATTTCTGACACATGACACTAGACTCAGATAAAGTTCATTCAAGAAAAATGTCAAACATTCTCAAAGATTGACAAAGAGAAACGAGTTCTTTCACAATGAACCATCACAACATGACAGATCTGATTCCGCCCATCTAGCTTTAACAAATGCTAAAGAAAATGATTGATCAATAGCTGCGAGCAAGTCAGATTGAGACTGAAATAAATAAATCACATGAAGTACAGTGGGAAGGATGACTGTGAGATTTCATCATGCTACCCAGTGAATTCATCTAATGAATCATTCTACTCATTTCTGGCAAAAACGCTCACAGCCTCATAAATATTACCCATTGTGCAATCTACTTTTTTAGCCTGTGAGATGAAGTGCTTTTTCCATGTAACAAAGCCAAAGAGGCTCCATCACGTCGAGCCAGTGGGATCTACGATGTATTGCAGAACCATACTCTAACATCCTGTATATTACATGATATATTAATCTGTACGAACCAGTGATGAAAAAAATACCACTCCACACAATCGTAATAAATCTTAAACACATGAACAGCATTCACAATGCATTTTACTTCTGTGACACGACATACTCCTTAGTGAAATAGTGGGAATTAAGAAGTAGGAATCTGGATTGGATTGGTGAAAAAGTAGGCTGAGATATTATGGGTTTATGTTATTTTTCTCTGCCCACATGGTCTTGGTTAAGCCAACAGAAACTAAGAAACATTTCAAAGGTGGAGAAATTTACATTTTAACATATTTTGCTTTGTTTTGACCTGTGATATTTACGTTTATTGAGCAGATGCTTTATCCAAAGCCATTTAAACCAGAACAATATACAGTAAGTGATTAATCCAAACAGTAAGTGACGTTGAGTGCTAGATACCTTCTCGTGGATCTCCTGGGTGGACTGGGCATCACAGAAGGCCACGGTGGCCACGTCCTTCAGGATGGGCATCTCCACCGTACAGTCCCGCCCATCCAGCAGTGCCACCAGAGGACGAGGGTGCATGGGGCCATTCATTATGGGAGGCCTGATGCCTGCAGAGAGAAATCAATCACATATGTTACACGTCTTGATCTTGTGTTCAAGTAGGTTTAATGTGAGCACTGACTGTAAACGTCATTTTGTCTGCGAATTCACTGTTATTGTAAGACTCCTTCCAAATGATAAAACCCAATGCTACTGTACATTTGGCTCAAGGATACACACAGACATCAAATGCCAAGGTTAGTTATTGGAATCACTCTTAAAATAAAGTGACTCATAAACACAGAAAAATACAACAGTGTGTATTAGCAGTCGGGTGATTCCTGGCTTTATTGCTCAATATTAAATATATTTTTGCAACTGCTGTTGCAGTAAAACAGAGCAGTTGTGAGTTGTATAACCACTCATAAAAGACACAAACAGACTAATGCTGTTATTTTACTGATAACAAGACCTTTCTTACAAATAAATGTTGATTGAGAGTTATGAACACTGATGATTTCAGAACTGTCAATTACTAGTCAGTAACATTTTGCCAAATGGTTATAGGATAACAGAACTATAACTTATGTGATAACTAGACTGTGTGTAAATATATACATCAACCAGACTCTTAATATCAATCCCTTTATAAGAAGACTGATGGCATCTTCTTAAAATAAAGTGACTCATAAACACAGAAAAATACAACAGTGTGTATTAGCAGTCGGGTGATTCCTGGCTTTATTGCTCAATATTAAATATATTTTTGCAACTGCTGTTGCAGTAAAACAGAGCAGTTGTGAGTTGTATAACCACTCATAAAAGACACAAACAGACTAATGCTGTTATTTTACTGATAACAAGACCTTTCTTACAAATAAATGTTGATTGAGAGTTATGAACACTGATGATTTCAGAACTGTCAATTACTAGTCAGTAACATTTTGCCAAATGGTTATAGGATAACAGAACTATGATAACTTATGTGATAACTAGACTGTGTGTAAATATATACATCAACCAGACTCTTAATATCAATCCCTTTATAAGAAGACTGATGGCATCATGATGACACACACAAAGAATCAGTTTTAAGGGAAAAAACATTGAATGAACAATCTTAATGCAACCGCAGCTGATGATGTTTAATCATAAAGTCATGAACACCTGCAGGGCTTCTTTCTGCGGGTCTGACTTTCTGTCAGAACTGTGCTGTTTTAAGCTTCTCAACATTTACTGATCTAAGACCACCAACATTTTCAGGCTTAAATGATCATTTTATAGTGATAACCCAATATATGCTGGCCAAGCTATCAAACTTCAAGACAAATTCCCACTGAAGACCAACATATGTTGATGCTACCATATAAAAACCACTCCAAAAGTGCTCATCAGCGGCAGCCCAGTCCCATGAATCACTGCGAATAATATAATCAGTTTCACTGCACTCTCAAACTACTTATATATTGGTGTGTATTTTAATATTTTGGAACAAACTTCAAATATATTGTATTGTATATCAATGATAATTAAATTGATAGTTTTATACTTGTCACGTGTTTGTTTCTGTTTAGTTCCTGTTTGCCCGTATTTGGTTCAGTTCCTGTTCTCATTTAGTTTATCATCGTTTATTCTGTTCACCTGTGTTGATTGAGTTCTTCACCTGTTTCAGTTCTCCCTAATTACGTTCCATGTGTTTAAATACCCTGTGATTTCCTCAGTTCCCTTGTCTTGCTTTAAAGTTATGTTGTGGAGTTTTTATCCTATGTTCATCAGTGTTACCCTCTTGGTTTGTTAATAAAAGACTCACCTTTGGATTACCCCTTCGCTGTGTGCCTCATCTACCCACATCGTGACAATACTACAGCATTTTCAGTGTTGCGGCTGAGTAGCAGAATTTGGCGTTCTGCCTAGTGTCAGTTAAAAAAACATCTACCAACGGACTTGCCAATGGAAAGTCCAAGTATATCTGTAAACTACCGTTCAAAAGTTCAGTAAGAATTTTGTAATGTATCTGAAAGAAGTCTCTTATGTTCACTGGAGCTGCACTTATTTGATCAAAAATACAGTAAAAACAGTAATATTGTGAAATATTATTACAATATAATAAATAACTGTTTTCTATTTTGATATATGTGACCCTGGACCACAAAACCAGTCATAAGGGTCAATTTCTCAAAATTGAGATTTATACATCATCCGAAAGCTGAATAAATAAGCTTTCCATTGATGTATGGTTTGTTAGGAAAGGACAATATTTGGTCGAGATACAACTATTTGAAAATCTGGAATCTGAGGGTGCAGAAAAATCTAAATACTGAGAAAATCACCTTTAAAGTTGTTCAAATTAAGTTCTTAGCAATGCATATTACTAATCAAAAATTAAGTTTTGATATATTTACGGTAGGACATTTACAAAATATCTTCATGGAACATGATCTTTATTTAATATCCTAATGATTTTTGGCATAAAAGAAAAATCTATCATTTTGACCCATACAATGTTTTTTTGGCTATTGCTACAAATATACCCCAGCGACTTAAGATTGCTTTTGTGCTCCAGGGTCACATATTTTAAATGTAATTTATTCCTGTGATGTGAAGCTGAATTTTCAGCATCATTACTCCAGTCTTCAGTGTCACATGGTCTTTCAGAAGTCATTCTAATATGCTGATTTGCTCAAGAAACATTTCTTTCTGTCAATGTTGAAAACAGTTGTGCTGTTTATTATTTATGAGAACTGTGATATTTTTTTTTCAGGATTCTTTGATTAATAGAAAGTTCAATTTATTTTAAATTAAATTGTGTGACTAATTGTGACTTTTGATCAATTTAATGTGACCCTGCTGAACAATCTATCTAAAAAGAATCTAAGAAGTATCTATATATATAT